AGGTAGTATATTCTAGGGTAGCTTCTCTATATAATATCACTGCAAATATATAAATAAAACAAGGTTGAGCCAGCATTATAAAAAAAAAATATATATATATATATACAGTATTATTATATAATTGATTTACAAAAACTCTTTCCAATGATTCTCTGACTACACACAAAAAAGACACACGAAAAAGCTTTTCTAACTTTTCTGTTAGCAATAGTTTTATCACTCTTTTTAAACCATCTTGAGAAATCTCTCAGGAGTCACTCATATCCTTTTCCTTTTGTCTATATTCTTTTCAAACAAAAACTTGACTACTTGTAACCTTAATAGTTATAAACATATCTTTCTTACCTATGGCAAGAAAGTTCTGAAAGGAAGAAGAACTGATGCTTTGCCACCTTTCATCTTATAGAGAAACATTACAGAGCCATTGGGTTGATATAGAGAACTATCGCAAACATACTACACTCACTCACTTTATCACTGGTTAGACTTTAATAGTGCTCTTTCTTAATTGTTTTGGGGGAATTTTGCCTACTTTAGTTTGTCCCTGAATTTTAAGTAGCACAAGGTTTCTCATGATTTGATTGGTTCAGTAAAATCACATCAGTATAAGAATATAAACAAGTTCTTATTGGTCACTTCACATGTTTGAATATGTTTTCTCAGCCTCATAAGAACCTAGGATCTACCATAAGTCATATGGGTCTGGCGAGGATGGATACATGACATTTTTCCCTATCATATCTTTGGCTCTTATCAGACAAGAGGAAGAAACATATAACTATAGACCAGTTAGCTTAACTCTTAGAACACAAAGGCCTAGTGAATGTCTCTTGACTTTACTGTATTAGAGTAAAAAGAGCTCACAGCAAGGTAGAACGTACTGTATTAGATTGATCTACACAGTTATATATACATCACTATCACCAATCCTTTTTCTCATAGAGATAGAATCCCTTTCATCTTGGAAGATGAAAATTGCCCAATCACACCAAGAGGAGCTTCCTTCCACCAATCCCCTATCAAATTTACTATGCAGATAACCATCCTAAAGAATTTCCCTTTCTGTTCAGCAAGAGTAGTTCACTCCTGTATATAGTTGGAACCTGGCTGGAGAGTAATTTCATCAAAGGGACATGGAAGAGTTTTCTGCAGTACCGAGGCAACCTTAGGTAAAGTTAAATTGAGTGGCACTAGTACTTGACTTGGGAGTTGATAACACTATCTGAAATGATCAACAAGCTGGTACGTGAATATTGCTAGGAGTTATTGCAAGATAACATGGAAAACCACACCAATACCACCACTCCGAATGTATTAATGACAAGCACATCCAATAGAAATATTGGACAGTATGGACTCAAGCAAAAGTTTCTCCCTTATACAAGTTGCATAATAATTTATTGATCATCTCAAGTTTCTTTTTAAACTCATGAATAGTAGTGGTAGTATTTGAAAATTAAGGAATATACTACATTACTCATACATCTTCTTTCCACACTGCTAGTTTAGGTCTTCAAACATATGTTTACTATTATTAACTATTTTTCAGGGAGTTTTTACATAGTTAATTCATCCATTGGAACCCACTTTACATACATGATTATAGATTTAGATACATCCCCATTCTGTTTCTTTTTACCTTTTCTAGAGGATGAAATATCGGTGGCACTTTGAATACGCTGGCCTCTTGAAATTGTATCTGGCAGATAGCAGAGATCCTTATCAATGTATTTTGTTGTCAAACTATAGATAGGTTTAGAGTTTATCTGGAGTATAGCTTCTCTGAATAAATATACTTGTCTATTAAATTTCAATAAAATGATATGTCCTGTTTTTCAAAAAAAAATATATATATATATATATATATAATTGATTTATAAAAAAAATTTTTTTTGTAAAGCTTTTGTTTAATTAAAATAATAAAAACAAGATGATTTGCTTTGTTTAATTGATCTTTTTATTATTTATAAATTTAAATAAATAGCAAAATATATTTTAATAAGTATATTAATTACTTTTAATTGATATAATATTTTTTTATAGTAGAATTTATTTAATTAAAAAATAATTTTTTATTTTTATTATTAATAATATTATAAAAATATATAGTATATATTAAAATTAATAAAAATTTATTTAAAGTTTAATAATTTAATAATCAATTATTTTTAATAAAATTATAATATTAAAAATTTTTTAGATAATTATAAATACAAAAAATAATTGATGAAGAAAATGAGTTTATTTTTTTTTATATATATAAAAAATCTTTATAATAGTTTATTTTAAAAATTATTAAATACTTTATAAATAATTTTTTTAAAAAACTTTTTGTCCTTTATAACAAATATGCTACTTTATTTTTTTTAATAAGTTTTGATTAAGGAAAATTGTAAATAAGAAAATGAAGATGGTAATGATTCTTAAAGATATTTTTTAAATTATTTTTGAGAATGGCATTAAGGCTTTATTAAACAAAAGTTATAATAAAACTTTTAATAATCATTTTTTTGTATATGATTGGAAGAATCTGTAAAAAGATTTTAAAAAGTTATGTATGTTGAATAAATATATAGCACCTCAGTTTTATTTTTCTCATTTTTTTTTCTTCTCTACCATAATTAAATTTGCATTCAGTGACAATGATGAACAATTAAAAGTAAAAGCTTCTGATAATATTTAATTTAGAAGGATTTTTACTTTAAGATCATATGGAATGACGAATTGCTTCTACATTTAAATATTTCATGAATCAATAAGTGTAAGAAGATTTAGCAATAGATATACTGTATATTTAATGTATCAACTGCTCGGAAAAAAATCATCATCAGCATTACATTAATTCATTTTATTACATATCCCGCCTATCTTTTCCACCGATAGATATTCATTCGAATTTTCAATTATCGAAAAGGACTTGGAAAACTTCTTAAACGTCAAGTCATGAGCCAACAATAATATATCAGCATCGCTATTTTTTAATTCGTCTAACAGGAATTGTGCCACCAGTTTCACTGATTTTTTCGACAAAAAGCTCTTCGATCCTAAACTTATTTTCTTGAATATTACCCCTTTCTTATAATTGTGATCTTTCATGCTGTCATTGTCAAACAAGTGAAGATCAAGTTTCTTCGACCACTCGTGAGCAACAAAGTCTTGATGATTGTTGCTTAACACCTCAACACTTTGCGTCTTTCTACCGCCAATGGAGATGAACTCGTGAACGATGCTTGGTTTTCGAGTCCTTGACTTCATCCACAATTTTAATTCGTGCTGCGTCACAAACCGTACTCTGGGAAATAACATTTTCAGAGCGGTCACGTTGTACTCCTTTTCTCCATCTTCAACCTCCTTGTTCGATGATTGTCCCTCGTGATTTTTGTGACGAATGATCCCGCATGAATGAAATAGAAAAGACTCGACCTCCTCACCGACGACACTTGAGGGTATTACTAGCGTGAGATTCAGCACTTGGGCCAGGTTCGTGTAGGTAAAGAATTGAATCTGATTTGATTTCTGGATTTTGTAGGGCGACATCTGATAAGGAAAAAGGAATTTACATTTGTTGGAGTTGGAACAGAATTCGAAGTCCAATTGGGAATCGTTTAGCAATGAGAGGGGATCGTGCTTGTCGTGACTATTATTAATTTGAGAAGGAATTTTGTGATAGTGGTGATAATGACTCCTGGTATATGTGGTCGTGAAGTGAGGGATCGTCGTGAATTGTCGTTCGAAACCCGAGTCCCTGTGCCTCGGGATCTATTCGTCGTTTTAAGGTTATCAGTTGATCATCAACGTATTCATCAAGGAAAGAAGTCAAATCGAAAGATCATGCCATACTTTCTGACAAAATGAATTTATGTCGTCTCTAATGTCATAAAACAATTCGAGTGAGATGTATGTCACGATGAGGAAGAGTATTACGAGATATCGATTATTCCATATTGTTACGAAGGTGAATGGTGGTCTAGGTTGTTCTGGGGTGTAAACGTTGCGGGACTTCATGATTAAGCTTGGAATGGTCTCGACGAAGATTTAAAGCTTACTGCCAAACTTGATAAATCGGTTCAATCTCATTTGCTTTCAAACGAAAGATATGATCTTTTCTAATCAATTATTTAGATTATTTATTATTTCGAGAAATAAAGGAAAATAAAAAAAAAATCAGTACTATCGAAGGAAACACCTTGAACATAATCAAAAGGTGTGTCGACGAATGAAACTACTATTTGTTGCAATGGAATGACGTGTATCTGTTCTTTCCTTCTTTTTTCTGATAGCAGCGTTTCGTCATTGAACATGTATTCATCAAATAGTTTGGGAAAGAAAGGATGCCGTGCCGTGATGGTGGGCCAAAATATCGAAAGAATATGTAGCATGGTGGTTAGAAAATCAAACTTTTTGTATTTGCTGCTTACAGTAACACCTATTTGGTTTACTCAATAAGGGAGGCTTTAAACATTGGCGTGACAGGTTTTGAGCTTTAGGGAAGGCTTGTGATAAAAAAAAAAAAAAAAAGCGGATGAATTTTTAAAACGTGGCGCGCACAGGAATCGGCCCTGAATTTCGCGTATAACTGATCTGTCGCGTAATAGGCTTAGACATCAAAAGCCGCAAAGAAATTTATGGCTTAGCGTAGCTGGCAACAATTCATATTGTGTAATGTTTCTCGATGTTGTACAGCTTGACGCCCACGAATGTTCGTAATGAACTCAAAATAGATAACAACGGTCGTTGTGTTGATTGGTATGGGAAATATGCTTTGTACTGTACATAGGTCAATTCGACTTGTGTGCTATCTGCTAATTAAATTAATTGAATTTAACCAGAAGAAACAAACAAACAAACAAAAAAAAAAAAAAAAAAAAAAAAGGTAAATTCTTATAAATAATTCGATCATCGTGTTATTTCTTTGAGTATTTGATAGCTATTAATACATTTTGTTTATCTTTGTCATTTTTTCTCTTAGAATTCTTCGAATTGGGATTATGTTCAATGCACGAGCAACAAAAAAAAAGATCTTTTTCTTGACAAATATTCATCGATCTACAAGCAACGACGACGAATTACACCGAAGAGAGGTGGTTGACATCGCTTGCCTAATGAAATTAACCAGATCATGCATGGCTTTCGTTCCGTCGCCCGAAAGTATATGTTGAATTTAAAAACTTGATGTAGCCTATCCGTTGATTGTCGTATCGAATACACGGTAAAGCACATCTTACGCGATATACTGTACTGCAATCTGTGATGCGTGCATGTGGCCGTGACCAGATACGGTTAACTCCGCTCTGAATTATAATGACATTTGGAGCTTTTTTTTTTTTCCTTCCTCGCAAACGCCCTTGTCTTGCAGAATTTTTCGGTTCCTTTATTCCCGTCGCAATGTCGCGATCGTTAAGAATTGAAGGCGATGACGATTCTGCTTCCACACGTGCGTGAAGACTAGATACTCGAGGATACAACACTGGGCGAACGCTTTTATATAGCACCCCTGTGTCACTCTGGGACTCCGGATCTTTTTTTTTTTTCCTCAAAGCACGGTTATGGCCTTTCGAAACCGAACCAAGATTTATAACAGGTAGTGAAAAGGACTAAGTGGTTTCGGAATTTTATTGCTGCACATTCAAAAACTTTCTATATAAACGTTTATGCATCTTAGTTCTCTCTTTGTTTCACACATTCTTAGGAAATAGACACGACATATTTGTTGATACATATATAATATATATTTATTTATTACCTAGTCTCAGAATTGGTTCAATATACTTGACCATTTATTAACTGAAAAATAATTTGGCATACATAATTACAGAAATCCGCAAGGAAATATGGGAATTGCAAAGTTTTTTCATTATAGAGAATTCATCCCACGACTCTCGGTGACGTCTTGGTTTATCAGTCCAACGGGGTTGGCCATATTCCGTGGATTGGCGACGGTTTATTTTTGGATAGTGACGATCGGAAGAATATTAGAATACACATTTTATGATAAATCATTAGAGGTTTACGGATTTACTAATGATGTGGAGTGTTATGCGTGTTACTTCACAAACTTGAGCTATTTCGGCGAGACCATATATTTCACGGTTAGTAGTTCGCGGGACGTCAACAGAAAGAGTTGTTCTGTTGCCGACGCAATTCCGGTACTGAAGTTTTGTTGATACTTAGGCGGCATTTGTTCACAACGTGCTCTACTGTCGAACTCCGAAACCTCACGAACCAATTTCTTTCAAGGAGGAACCGGATTTTCTCAATTGGTTGTTCTGGCTGCTGTATCATACGGTGGTTCACTACCAGTGAGTTATGAATATTCGCCAGTTCGAAAACATCCAATTTCATTTTCTAATCTAGTTTGTTTTTCCTTAAACCAAAGCTTTCTGATAGTGTTCGTCTACTGGACGCTTCTCGCAGGCCCCATGCTTCAAGGAAAATCTCCAGCATACATCTGGTGGTTAGCGGTATCCGTGCATGGATTGGATTTCGTCTTCATGCAGATTGAATTATTTCTGAATCGTCAGGTTATGAAAATATCATTTGCGATCCTAACATGTTTCGGAACCATACTTTTCATGTTGGAATCATTTGTTGTATACGATGAGTGGGTATCCTCTGTCTCTCCGATTTGTCCTTTACTCTCATTCACCACGCATGTCATGCTTTACGAATATTTTTTTTTTTTTTTTTTTTTCAATTAAACAAAAACAGGTGGCATTTTTGGGTTTACAACTTTCTAAACTGGAGCAACGGTATGTACAGTATGTTGTTAGAAGTCATGATACGCAGGGTAAAGATTCTAAAGTTTCCTGCGTGCCTCGAAAATTCTAGGTACACCATTGACTGTGTTTCTTCGATACTTGGCATTCCTGATTTTCTTTATCATCTGCTATTTTATCGTGTACGGTCTGCACGCTCTTCGAGATTGGATTGGTAGGAAGGTTAATAAAGATAATTATGAATTTCAAGGTTATGATTTCTAAAATATACAGTAGCCATCAGCTGTGACATAGAATATATGCACCTAGTCAATATACGTAACCGTTTCAGATGCACCTCATCAAAGAAAGCAACTCATCCGTTGACAACTTTATACAGAGATACATAGATAGATAAACGTTCAAACTGTTCTCCAAAAATTCTATTAATTTATGCATTTAATGCAATACATTGTATGCACCTCTTGTTAATACTTCAATCTCGGCTTATACCTCAACTACTAATGTGGGGTGGAGTTGCACTTGCGTGATACTTTTTACTCACCTGTGTTCCGTCATTCCAAATTTCCATATTTCGAACTCGAATTTCATTTCCCCAAGGAATTTCTATATTCAAATGGTACACATGCATTGCGTTCGCGCGCATCCTTGAGCGAATTACAATAGAAGAGATTGTAATATTGAGCATTCAAGGTGAGGAGATTATGAGGAGCAAATATCCTCCTCGCGATCCCCATCAATCCAACTGCAGTGCCGTCTATTATCTACTCGAGTTATGATCATGTGTGACTAGTAAAAGGAAAAAAAGGGGATCGCCGGTTTCTATTTTATTTTTTATTTTTCTATTAGCCATTGCATACTTCTTGTTGACCAAAAAATAAAAACAACAATATTTTTATTCTTTATTTAATTTTATTTATTATTCTTAATTTTTTTTTTTTTACTTGCAGAATGTTGGAAAATAAACAACAAATATACCGTTACTAATGATTTGAACTTGATAGAATGTTCACGCATCACCCTTTTTTTTTTTTTTTCGGAGGTTTAAATTTGGAGGTCTCTCCGCCCTCCTCCCACTTTTTTTTTTTTTCTCTTCGTTACTCCCCCTTTTCCCTCACGCATACCTTGACACGGCACCATCGAATCCTATAATCCAACTTTATGTAACACTCACCACAACACTCAACCATCGATTCGATTCCATAGTCCAACTTTGTACACAGCAACACACCCTTCTCCGATCAAACCGTGTCAAGGAATCATGAACCAGTCTACGTCACCAATCAAGAAGGAAGATAGCGATCTCGATTTTATGGAACAGTTTCGATACATCAACGGAAGAAGATATCACAACGTTGAGAACGTATCTTATTTCTTACCAAACGACAACGAAGAAGCCGACAGACTGAGTATGCAGCATTACTTGGCTAAGCATATTTGGAATGGAAATTTTTCTTCTCCGGTCGAAGAAAAGTTGAGATCCGGGCGTGCCAATGTTCTCGATATCGGGTTAGCATTCTTCTCCTTTTTTAATCCTACGTCTATTCTAGAGTCGAACTTTGAAATTTGCTCACGACCAAGTTTGCGATTGCCTCAAGATGTGGTTCGGGCTCATGGATACTAGACGTCTCTTCGACCTATTCGCTGTCAACATTCGTAGGCGTGGACGTTTCCAACATGTGGAACAATCTCGAGAATACGCCGCCAAACGCCGGATTCTTGGTTCACAATTTGATCCAAGGTGTTCCCTTTCCCGAGAGAATAATGGACTTCATTCACGTCCGATTCATGGGACTCTCGTTTGGCGAGTTGCATTGGATCAAGCTGATTAACGAATTAATTAGGGTTTGCAAGCCGGGCGGTTGGATTGAGATTATGAATCTTGATTACACCCCAAAGAATATGGGCCCAGCGACAAGATTGCTCATGAATTCTTGTAATTATGTTAATAATGATCCTCTTTTCTAGCACGCTCTCGTCAATGAACCAAGACTGACTTCCCGTCTCGTCCTTTCTTTTTGATCCAGTGGTGGAATTTCATAAATCGAAAGGATGCAGTATTCCATCGGCAAAAGACTTTGAGAGATACTTGAGACACAACGATCGGGTCACCGCCATACGAACCGAGAGAAAGTCGACTCCCCTCGGCAATTGGAGTGAAAAAGTTGGTGACATTGTAAGTGCCAAATTTATCCGATTGACGAGCACAAATTTGGTATTAATTTTCTGGGCTTTACCCAAAAGGCATTGTTAGGATTCGATTGTCTGTTCAAAGCCTTCAAAGTATTTCTTGCCCCATACATGAATCTGGACGATAAGCAATACCAGAAATTACTCAAAGAACACGATCGACAGGTCAACGAATATAAAACGAGTTTTCAAACTTATAGGATTTACGGGAGGAAGGTTTGAGAACTCCGGAACGTTTGGAAATAATTTCCTTTGACCAAGTTTTCCGCCCACACAACAAACACAACAAACGCACTTCATTCCCTTGCATGCAAAAACTTGGGGACGGTATTTTGATGAGATTCATTCATTCATTCATTCCCTACAAATGTGTATACACGACGCCTTCTTTTATTCCTGTTTATAATTGTAATTAGTTGTAATTATGGAAGGACTTTTTTTTTTTTTCTTTTTTCCCTTCTTTCTTTCTTTCCTGTACGTATTACCTTTGACAAATAAATTTGTTTATAGTAAATCTACTTGCATCGAGTTAAACCCGCGAAGTAAATCAAATTAAAATAATCATGAAACGTGACTAATCACGAATCAAAAAGAATTACGTAAACGCTTTTCTTTATAATAATGACGCGTCATCGAGCGCAGTAACATGATTGTCGAAGCTGCGCCATTTCAACAATCATGACCGCATTACATCATTTATCATCACTGCCCATCTTACAGGAATTGCTTATAAATACGCCACCCATTGACAATGCCGCTCAAACTTTTTTTTTTTTGCGAACCTCTGATTTCTGCTTTTGTAAAAAAAAAAAAAAAGAAGAAGAAAAATCCTATATTGTTATTGTTATTATTATTTATTTGTCACCTCTTCTTTTTTCCAACACCAATCTTTCTCGAGTTGAAGAAAAAACTTTCGGTCGGTTGTTTAGAAGAAGAGAGATCTTTACAACCAACATTAAAACTTGCAATTCTTATGCAGAGTGCATCGATAGATAAGCGTTCAGTCAAACAAGTAGTCGAAGAAATCTATTCATTAATACATCCCACCATACATCCATTGGATGCTTCGGATCGAGTCCTCGTTGCAATTATTAAAGCATTGATCGCTATTAAGAATGAACCGACTAATCCCAGGCAACTAGCAGCATGCATCCAGAAATATGGTTTTACGACACTTGGGTAGGTGTTGGTTTGTTTGGTCACATGATCGCTTTCGAAATTTGTTGATTAAAAATAAAATAAAATAAAATTAAAAATGACACGCCTTTTGAACATGTACTAGCGGAAGCACTCCTTACGCGACAGTGTCAGGGCACATCTCTACCCATTTCACTCGTGTACGACAAAAAGTCGTGCCTCGACCAATTCTCGGAAAAATACATCATCCCACATTAAAGAATAAGATAAACTATTATTTATTGGATTCGGATAACGTTCTACGAGATCTTTTAGCTCAACACTTTCCATCGCCGAGCGGAGTGCCGTCGTCATCTTCCTCTCCATACGCCACCATCACTTCTACCATCATACCGACGGTTCACCCTCAACAACATCGACAGCCCATTTCTCCGCCTACCTCGAGGGCGAGTTCACCGCAATCGTCAAATTACAAAGAATCCGAGGTCATTGCTGAGAGTCAACGCCAAACCTCAGTGGTGGAGTCGTCATGTCAATCGGCCGAAGATATCACTTCTTGTCGTCACTATCTCTACGCTGGATCACCTATTTCCTCCCCACCAATACAAGAAAAGATCTTGGTTTACACCAACAAACCAAGTGAAGGTGGAGTTCGAACTTTCATGACCGATGACGACACGGAGAATGATCAGTCGGTTTCACAGGAGCAAAAAATTCAACAGATGACGAATAATGAGAACCTGATGTGCACAATGTACGGCGTCAATGAGATGGAAATTACACCAACGAGCAGTTCCGAAGAACTTGTACCGTTGAGTGGTAAGAAAAGAAGGGCATCCGAGAATGGAGATGCCATTAGGTCTCGAAACATGCCAAGACCAACACCGGCGTTTCTAACGTTTCCCCAATATTTCTTGTCAACCAATCAACAACAACAACAACAAATGCGAAACCCCCACCAACCTCGCGTACCTCTGACGCCTGACATTTACCTGAGCAATGTAAATGGTCTGGAGGTTTTCGTCACGAACATCAGTGTGAACGGGAATGAGGTTAGGCTGATGCGTCGGGTGGACACAAATTGTGTGGACCGATGGTCGTTGTTGTCAGCCGGTGGACGTAAGCCGAGAAACGGTGATAAAAGATGGTGGGTGGTAGATTTAAGTGTTTCAGGCGATTTCGTGTAAGTCATGTTTAACTGACCATTCTCAATGCATCTTGTAGGATCACTCTGGAAGACGCACAGTCACTGGCGGCAAAATTGGATATTGAACAGAGTCTTGGCATATTTCTTGATCCAAGACTTTATGACTATTTTGATGTCGACCTGGATCTCCCAACAACATCGGGCGCATGTTGCGGTCCGTTGTCAGGATTCGCATACTGGTTTCAATGCGTGAATCCTAAAAAGATTTTTTTGGGATGAAAGAAGCACTCATTTTTCTTTCTCCTCCTCTCCATTTTTTTTATTAATACATAATTGTGTATACAGGAGAAAGTTATACACACATGTAAATAAGAGTATCAAAAAAAAAACCCCCCGCAAGCCACGCACGTAGTGCTCTATTTAATAACAAGCAGCTTTATTCTTTATTTTTGTAAATTTTATAATGGACATTTTAGTTGCATATTTTTTATCCATCATTATTCAGTTTGCATGCCATTTGAAAAAAAAAATGTTACTCATTCAATAGATAATATCTTATGTATGACTTGTAAATAAATAAACAAATGTAGCGATTATAAAGTCAATTGCATCATCAATATAAGCCAAATATTTATCGTGTGAGCGGGTCGTGGGAACCTCGAGAAATTTGATCATTCCCCAACTCCGATGCTATTGCACATTCGAACAACATTACGTTTTTCGTGCGTAAGTAAAAGCAACTTGCCCTTATTATCCTATTCAAGTAGAAATATCTATAAAAAAAAAAAAAAAACCATGTGATATTTTTCTTATCAATCAAATGCAAACCGTTGCAAGAGATGGTCCAATGTAGCATGTTGCCAAATTGGGAGTTGGCTGAAACGAATGCCGAATTATGATTACTCGAGAATGAAGGCATGATACAAATTGGTATTGATAAGCGAACGAGGATGTCATCACCAAGAACATCCTTACATCGCAGATATTCGTCGGAATTTGGGTGCGAAGTAAAAATCGACCGTCTGGGAACGAGAAATCAAATTCATTCGTTACCAAACACGACCACTTAATTTGCTGCATTCGAGTGATTGGGTTTCCTCTTCGATTTGCACGTATGAACGATCGTTTACCAAACTTTTCACTAACTCGCCCAAGCGAGATCTGACTAACTTGTCGACAAGTCTTTCTCCAATTCACATGGGAGATGTCGAATTGTCAAAAATGTTAATTTACAAGTTTTTTCCCACCCTGAATAGAGTTGCTTATTGTCGTTAAATCGGTGAATGTATTTAAAGAAAGGATAAATCAAAGATACAAACGTAAGACGAAAAATAAGTGAATAATGCAACAACGCATCTCAGGTATTTCGGGCAAATTGTGTGTCGATTTACTTTCAAATATTTCATGAATTAACCTGATTCAACAATTTGCAATTTCTTTTGAGTTGAAAGATATCTAAACTTGAAAACTTCTTGTCACAGTAGATCGCCAATGATTTGAGATTCACAAGCTTTGAAATTTCACGAATGATATCCTAAAAGATAATAAATAATAATAGTATATGCGGTGACCCATCGTCGCAAATGAACAAGAAAGAGAAATTCATGAACGCATACCGAGTTGGAATTTGCTTCGTCAATCCTACAAAGATCCAAGGTAAGTTTTTCCAGGTTTTTACAGGATTCACAGATTTCCCTCAATCTCTCCAAACTGATGGCTTCCATCATTAACGACAACTCTTTAATCTCGCATAATTCCGCCACCCCCCACCCTTCGACCAATCTACAGGTATATAAACATAATAGTCTTAGTGAACTCCCTCCAAATGCCGAAACAATCCTGTCATCCACATCTTCCAACTGTCTTAAACTCAATTCCTCAAGTGCGCTTGTGTGTTCGGCCAACGCCAATAGGGAATCCTTGATCTTGATATTTTCCAAAATTAAACATCGTAATCGTTTGGCAAATGTTGGATTGGCGAGTTGAAGAATTCCTTTGTCGGTGAATCTCGGACAACTCTTCACATCCAAAAACGACAAATTCTTGCAATATTCTGATACTGAGGCCAAGCTTTTGTCGGTTATCTCGTCGCAATTAGACAATTTAATCTTTTTCAGTCTTTTACATCCCTTGACCACCTGACAAATCCCGGCATCCGTTACCTTACTGTTCGCGATAGTTAATTCCACCAATTCCGTCCAACTGATTGACACCAGCGTCAATGATTCATCAGTCCCACTTTTATGATATAAAGATAAAGATTTTAAATTCCTCCAATGAATGACTAAATCGTTTATCACCGAGGGATAGACTTGAGCATTAGCGATTTCACTACTACACGAAATTTTTTCGATATTAGGACAACAATCTGCTATAAGATATGCCAACTGTGCGTCCTTAATGCTCCATTCTCTTACCATTTCGTTATAGGCTAGTGTGGTTTTTTTTTCCTTTGAAAGAAAAAGCGTTCGTCTACATTTCTCGGCATTTTTCGCCGAAAACTTTGGAGCTTTGTAAAGGAAAGGGGAGGCCGTCTCGTTCCATAGAGAGTTCACAAACGCACAACTATAGAAATCTCGTTGAGCATCACAAAAAACGAAGATCTGTCGCAAAAGATAGTGATTGGATAGAGGCTGATAAGAATGCATTATGAAGGGGTGACACGGTAAACGAACTTTAGAGACGGTGGATTTTGAAAGGTCTTTTTATCGAGGTCGATCACAATTTAGTCATGTGGTATGAAGGGATATACAGCATGCTGCAGGGGTCAAGTTAATTTCAAATAAGGTTTGGTATCCTCGGCGTATTCTATTCAACGAAACGAGAGTTATTTTTGTCATCCGCCTTTATAACGGTTGTAATGAGGCACGTTACTAAATAAATTCTGGATGATATTCCTAGTTTAGTGCAATTTAAAAGGATTTCGCTAGCCGGGATGGATCATACAAGTTTAATACTGTACATAATTGAGAAACAAAAAAAATCAATTCATTAGGAAATCAAGACTTCGAAGTTGATAGGCAAATAGATTTACTGGTTTATAATAATCATATGTCGCGCGTTATACTCCACGTCAATCGAAGTCACATGGAACGAACTATTCTAGTCCCAACATATATAAAATAGGTATCATATACAGTATTTAAACCTACTTTTTAAAATTAATTATAATTAAAGTTTTTTCAAAAAAAAATTAAAATTATGTATAACTATTATATTTATTATATTGGTATTTACATACTGTATTGGCAATTATATTTTTTAACTTGTATTTAAAAGTTATTATCTTTATTATGGAATTTTATATTTATTTATTTTAATATATTTTATATATATAATTTTAAAATTTATTGCTTATATATTATTTTTTAAAATTACAAATATAATTAAGAAATAAACCTATTTTTATTAATAAAAAAATATAACATTAAATATATTATTACCAATTTTATTGATAATAAAAAGTTTTATAACTTTTTTTAAAAATAATTTTTATTATTCATAAACTTTTTTAATTAGAAACTTGGTTTTAAATATTATATAATATAAAAAAAATTATTTATAATTATTTTGTTTATTAAAAAATCCCACTTTTATTTAAAACAATTATATATTTTTTATTTTATATTTATAAAGCTCTAATTTTTATAATTTTATTAATTTTATTTAATATTAAATTTTAAATAATAATTAATTAATATAATTAAATATTTTAATAATATTATTATTATTATTAAATCTTTTTAATATTAATTTTACTTTACAAAAAGAAAAATATTTAAATAAATTGTTTTATAATAAGTTTTGAATAGCTTAATATCAAATTTTAAAACTTTTAATTAAATTCATACTAGTTTATATTTTTCTAAATACTAAAAAAATCCTTATAAATAATTATCTTTATTAATAAATTAAAAAAAATTCAAAGCTTATAAAACTTAAAAAAATTAAAAACTTATAAAATAAAATAATAAAAAATTTTAATTTATTATTACTTAAATTAAATTAATTAATAAACTATTTTTTTTTTAACCTATGGTCAATTCAGTATAATGTCTTTATTAAATATATACTAGATATTTATAAATTGTTGTGTCTTTCACATACTAACTCACTTATTATTAAAAACTATTTTTATAAATACAATTTAGAGAATGATATTTAGCTTCTTTACTAATTTGAATAATTTCTTTAATTAATAAAATTATTGCTTACAAGTCATTATTATAAATTATTTTAAATTCTATTTACAGTTAAAAATCAAACTATTTGATTTCATAACAAACTTAATCCATAATAATCACTGTATATTTTTTTTCTTTTTTTTTCTTTAATGTTTTTCAGGTTCGGATCCTCTAAAGATAATAATGATGCTCCTTGATTCTATTCAATTTATATGTTAAGTCTGTACTTGTATCTTTTGTTTCTTTTATTTTCTTCTATAATATTCTGCTTTTTTTTCTATTCTATAACTTTGATGCAGTAACTATTCTAAATTTCTTTTTTGAAATTTACTTATATATTTTGACAGAACTTGTCAATTATACTCTATATAATTGCAAGTGAAATCTTGAGCTGTTCTTTGAAATACTTCTTCAAAGAGATAATCTTATCTTCTTTCATATATTCATAAATAGTATTGAAAAGGTTCTTGTTAAATTTTTGAATCTATTCAACATTTATCTGTTCAGTTACTTGTTATAAATCAGACTTCTTCCTTATTTTTTACTTCTTTATTGATATATTTGTAAATCTTTTTGTTTGCTTTCTACTATATATCTTTTCTAGTTTCTTTAGTAGTTAGACATTCAAAAAGATGGTTTAATTCTTTTCTTA